TCGAAGCGTGAGGCTTTTTTTTTTTTTTTTAGGTACACGAGGTAGTGCTTTAAAGCACTGCAAATAAAATAGAAGCTCTAACCTTGCACATTCTTGAAATATTATTAATAAGGCTTGTTTGAACTGGATTTGGAGGTTGAGAAATGAACTAAGATTTTCAAATTCGAAGTTAATCTTAGTAGCATTCGAAGTTGGTTGCAGAATTTGCGAGAATAGAAACAAATCAGAAGCGAAGTGGGGGTTTTATTGGTTCCAGTTGAGACTGAGGACCATAGGAAGAGCTCGGGGGTCCTGGAGGGACACAGGCCCCCCAAACTTTTGAAAAATTAATATATTAATACTTTATTTTTTTGGTTAAATTTATTTATATTCATAACTTCTTCTTTTTTTTTTATTTCCAATACTTAACTGTTATTTTTATATCTATTTTTTTCTAAATATTTATTTCATATCATTCATTTTCTTATCTCTTTATTCATAATATACTATTTTTATGATGTTGAGAAAGATGAGAAACAAGAAAAATAAGAAAAATAAAAATTAATTGCATGATAATCAATAAACTGTTATTTTAATTATTTTCATTTTGTTTTGACAATTGTTGTTTAAATTGTATTTTGAATTACTATTTTGGCATGTGCTTTTAATCATTTCTAGGTTAGAATTAGAAAAATGAAAATATCATTAAAGAAATTCTTATTATTAAAAGGGTATACTAATAATTTTAACTCAATTAAGAAGATAATATTAATTTAAACTGATACTCTACAATTTTATATAGTAACTAGTGACTTTAAATTTCACCCCCCTTACATGAATTCCTAGTTACGCCAACATTTTGGAAGATAGAGTTTTGCTGCTGCTGCTGCTGCTGCCTATGTTGTGTGTATATAGATAGCTGACACGCTAACTTAGATGTTTCAATTCCGAAGCGGAATATATATACCTGCCTGGTACAGGAAGCACAGATCCAGCTTTTGTAGTTTAAAGGAAAGATAGGTGAAGCAGATGAGCATTTTTCATAGAGGTCAAGGTCCATATATATATATACATGTACAAGATGAATTTATGTAAAAATGAAAATGAGAAAAGGTAAAGGAATGGATAAGAGTTAAAAGTAGAGCGCAGGTATAGGCAGTACTTGATTTTTTTAAAATGAAGAATGAATATTCACGCTTTCTATTAAATGAAGTTTATATAGCTGATTGGCATGCCTGCTACATCGTTGTCTCTTACCTTCAGCTTGCTGTTTGTAAAAGAGGATATGACTTCTTGCAGTAGAGGTCTTTTATGCCATTTTTTGACCATCCTCCCAGCAGTCTAAATAAAAGACAGCTTCTTGGTTTTGAATTTAAAACATGATTAGGGTATGTTTCTTCCAGGGATTGCTCATCTTGTTTTGGGGATTAAATCCTTCTGTGAAAGCTAGGAACCTGCTGCTACAGCATAACTAGTTACAGGTACTTTCTTGCTTCCCTGTATTAACTTGGAAAATTTTTGTGGTTTAGAACTATAGTTTGCACTGGTTTTGGAGATTTGCTGGGTCATGTATCTGGAATAACGACAGATGTCTGGTTCCACATATGATTGAATATAAACTATTACCAGATTATCTATAGATATCTGTCAGGTGGGTGAGGCACCTGGGTGATGATTATTGAAAAGAATGCTCTACCTCCCAAGTCCCACCTCCAAAATAAATATAAAAAATAAATGGAGAAAAAGGATTATGGGTTACATCTGCACACATGCCAGGATGCAAGGATGAGATAACAAAGGAAAGACGATTGGAGTGGAATGAACATATTCTAATTGAAATAATGTGCAAGTTGTGTGAGGTGGGTTGACAAAGCGTATAGTGTGTTAAAGGCACTGAACCCCTGCTAGTTTGTTTATATGGTTTGACACAGCTTCGGTTAATTTCAAACTGGTTAAATAGGGCATTAAGTCACCAATTAGCAGAGGTTACAACATGACACATCATTGACCGAGAAGCAATCTTATTCAATAATCCCTATACAGAGGGCAGTAGCCACTAGTTTGCTGAGTTTACATTATTCTTTTTTTATTGTTTTTATGCTTTACCTTCCAGGGTTTTTCTTAAGATTCAAAGCTCTCATACTCATATTACAATAGCAATACAATACAAAACGTATAAAAGGGACTAATTACTAGCTAGTAGAAGGTGAAGCATCCTAGTTTGACCAGACCCACCACTCTAAAGCCTCTTCATGATGCTGCTGCTCCTGACCAGCGGCTGCAAACACATTTAAGTAGCTCTGGCCATCATCACTGCCATTGTCCTCCTCAGACTGGACACCATCTACAGGTCCCACACAGCCGGGAAATTCATCACAATGAAGGTATGAATCACCACTGTCCAGAAGCTGCGGGCTATCCCCATCCACCACCGCACTCCTACCACTACCAGAACTCAGCCGGTCCTCAACCTTCACACTGTGTTGGAGAGCAGCTGAAACATGGACAATTTCAGCCGGGATTGGATCAACCTTTTGATTTGTTGTTTGCTCTGTAACCACTTGCTTAGCTTGAAGTTTCTCAGTTAAAGAAGCAACCTGCAGGTCACAAATAATCAAATATGCCATTCCTATTAGCTGACTTTACAAAGAATAAGTCCAGGCATATCATCAGAAGGCCAAAAGGAATATTCCTCTCTTGTAGACTTCGAAATTATTTCAAATTAATGTGGGGTTTGAAAGAGACGCTATATTACAAAACACCAGTCTTGTTTTCAAAGTGGAATCTCATTGGCATGACCCACCTGAAGCAGCATGTTCCAGCAGATTACATGGGACAGTACCCTTCTGAGCTGTGGTCTTAGCTAAATGCTTACTCTTTGTAACTTCATAGATAAGAACACAAACGGGTAGTCCCATCAAAGTTGCTGGTAGGAGATGCATGTCCATCGATTTTGTATTCATTTGGCTTATTTCTTAGATTGAACTACCATGATTAAATCATTTCATGAAAGAACTGAAGTTCTTTGTTTGGATTTATAACTAACTCTTCCATTAATGAAATACCGGTAAAAATTAGCTCAAAAGATCATTTCCATGTATTCACAAAGATATAAATGTGAATGAAGATAGTAAAAATACCTCGGATTTGAGCTTCTCGTTCTCCTTGACCACAGAATCATAGTTTGAAGCAAGGGAATCATAAGAAGATTTGAGGAGATCATAGTCCCTTTCAAGCTGCTTGGTCTTCCACCTTGCACGGCGGTTCTGGAACCACACAGCCACCTGCCTTGGCTGCATACCCAGCTTCTTCGCCAACTGGGTCTTCCTCTCCGGCTCCAGTTTGTTCTCTGCCTCGAAGCTCTTCTCCAGCAAATGAACCTTATCACCGGAAACAACCCATCAAATTATATACTTCAACTTGGTCAACAGAAAAAAGAATATATAATAATAATAAGAAAATTAAAAAAAAAAAATCGTACTCTCCTGTCTCATATGATTCAATTATGGATTTCTTTTTCAGATTTCGCAGTATGTTCTTCTTTAACATCTATGGAAAAGGAGAGAATATGATGCTGATATGGTGAATATTAATTTGGCCCCAATCTTAACAGTAACAAACAAATTTTAAAAGCGGTGGAATATGTCCATGCAAGTACAGAATCAAAGCTAGCTAGAAATGTGAATTTTGCTCTAGAGTCAGTTTGTTAGTCACCACTGACCTGCTCCGGCGTAAGACGGCGCTTCTTTTCCGGTAACTGCTCATCGAAATACTCATCCTCATACAAGTCCTCCGGCGAACTGAAGAAAGGTCGCCTCTTTGGGTTCTCTCCCATGTTCAGCATCCTTGCGTCTGCACAAATTCAAAATTTCCCTCAATTTTCTTCCTATCCAAACAGAGTAAGGAAAATTCTACAAAATTAAATCCTCAGTTTCAATTAAATCATTATTATCCTCAAAGGAAAAAAAAAAAAAAAAAGCAAAACAAGAAATTTACCTCGAAAAACACCATCACCGTTCCCGAGGAACACCAGGTTGCGGTGGCGAGCGGATGGATCGAAGAAAAAACGGCCAGAATCCATCATCGGCTTCTCGCCTTCTCCGACTCTTATGTATACGGATATCTATATATATCTGTGTTCAAATTTCCGGCGGTTTCTGCCGTCGAACACACGAAGATTATTACTTATGTAGGTAACTGAAAACTCCACACGCAAAGACTTTGTTTGCTATAAATTAGATGATCATGAGCTTGTGGCGGAAGAAACTAGTAGTCCATAGCAACCTCGCCGGAGTTTCCAAAGGACATATGCAAAATCCCATCACGCCAATCGTATAACCACCGCGATCACCACCACCACCGCTGCTACTACCACCACCCAGCCTAGTTGGGCAAAATCCGCGTAAATTTCACGCGAATTTTACCATGATCGGATGCGGATTACTTGGCTTTCAGATGCTGTTTGAGGGTGAGAAAGAGAGAGAAATGGAGGCGTTTGGCGTCGGCGTCGGCGTCGGCGTCACCGTCGTGGTTAAGCGTCGCTTTGTAGGTGTCTTTTGCAGCTAAAGGTTCGTCCTGAGCAGAGCCTGCATCTCTTATACAGGTGCTCGTGATAGAAAATGACGAAAACGTCCTTTGCAGATTAAAGTTTTGAATTCTCTATATCAAAAGTAGGGGTGTTTCGGTAATTGAGATCTGGGTAATTTTGGAATTTAAGCGTGCGGGGTGGAGTCGTTCGTGGGTGATGAGGTGGCGGTTGCTAATTTGCGCTTGGTGTGGGTAGTGGACTCGGAGCTGGATAGTTCTGGGCCGTTGATTTAATAATTTAAATTTGACGGTAGTGATGATGCGAGGGAAGCAAGGACAACGTGTGCCAGAGTGTTCAATAGCCGCCATGCTCTTCGGTCGGGTGATTGTCGGATCTCGTTGACTCCAGATTGTTTGGGACCTTTTGGTGATTTCAACTACGGGTGGGTGAAAAAATTTGTAACTGAAAAAAATTTTAAAATTGATAAAATTGTAATTAATGGATAGAATTTGATTGAGTTTTAAATTTGTTAGATTAAAAATTAAATTGAATCGATTTTAAATAATTTAAATTTTAATTGTTAAGTTTAAAAATTAAAAAAATTAATGATTAGGATGAGTATAACTAAAAAGTTCTATTAAAAAGAGATTTTATATAAATTTTTGATAATTTTCAGATTATTTTTAATTTTCTAGCTGCTTTTCACTAATTTATCTATTTGTTTAGATAATTTTTCATTTTTTAGTAATTAAAATTAATAAAATAATAATTCAAAAATTCAAAAATAACTAAATAATAAAAAAGATTTTTTTTACTTTCAATCTCGATCTATCTGGTTACTCTCAAGAGTATAATCAAAATGGATAAAACTTATTTTTCTCAATTTGGTTAATAGGTGCTAAGATTTGAACCTGTCCATAGGTCAAGTGACCTCCGTTATTTTAGTAAAGGTT